TTAAACTGAAAGACCATGAGATACCCTGTAAGCTCTGTAACCCTAGCCTTTAAAATAATATATAAAAAAGCCTTTCTTTAAAAAATGCAAATTAAAACCCAGAAATCACTACAGAAAGAGTAAGGGAAAATATGATTTTTGCCCATTTAAATTGCTCCCTCAACTCTCATAACCCGACTCCTGGCTCCTCTGCTTCACTTTTTTTCTCTGTTTCACTTTTGGGGTTTCGCAGAGGCTCTCTAGCCCCCTTTGCACCCCCCTTTTCAGTAGTTGATATTGGAACGGAAAAGGAGAGCGGCGGCTCGCTTGGCTCGCTCATTTGGTTTTCCGTTTGAATTTCCTTTGCACTCAATGAAATTTCAACTTGATTTCCGTCGGGCATTTGTTACTTATATTTTTCAGACATCCTTGCTGGGAATGTGGATCTCACCCACACACACACACACACATTGGCAGTTGTTGACACCTACCGCCGACGACAGCTGCCTCAGAGCCCCCCATGTCCTGTAGCCTCTGTGTCCTGTGTTCCGTGTCCCGTCTGTGTGTGTGTGTGTGTGTTTGTTTGTTGATTTGGCTTAATAGTTACCAGGAACAGGAGGAGCAGGAGGAGGAGCCGCAGGAGGAAAAGGATCACAGGCAGGAGCAGCAGCAGCCGAAGCTCGACGCCTCGATTTTCACAGTGGGCGTCTCTCTGGCCTTGATGGTCGCTGGTGGTAAAAGAGCTCTGGCCAGCAAAAAAATATATATTTAAAAAAAAAAAACACACACACACACAAAAATACGCAAAACAAAAATATAAAAAAAAAGGAATACAAAAAAAAAACAAAGCGAAGAGGGGATACCCTAGGCAAAAATTCTATAAAATATTCAACATGAAAAATTATAATAAATATTTTAAATGAATTGTTTTGTCTTATGATTTTACATAATTTTTATATTAAATTAATAAATTTATATATTTTTTTAGACACAATCTAGAAAAACAATTAAAATATTTTGTAGGAAAAAAACATTTAATATTTAAAAAAAGTGTTTAATATTATAAAAAAAGTTTAAAGTTTAGTTTGAAAACCTTAAAAAATTATGTATACTAATTATATAATATTTATATATTTTTATTCTTATATTTATATATAATTAAAAATACCCTAGACAAAAAATATATATATATTCTTTAAGAAAAATTTAAATTTAAATTGAAAAAAATATTTATATATTAAATAGTGTTAAAACTTAATAAAAACAAATTTGAAAATATAAATTTAAGTTAAAAAAATATTTATATACAGAAAAAGGTTATATTTTCCAATTAAAAAGTTCCTAAGGTTGAAAACTAAACTTATATTAATAAATCGGAAGCTTAAATATATTTTTTAATAATATAAAAACATTATTAAATGGGAAAAAAGTTTTATGTTTTCAAAAATAATTAAATAAATAAATAACTAAAAAAAATTATAAATAATAAATAGTACCTTCTATTTTATACAAAAAAGGAAACCTAGTTTCTATTTTAAACAATAGAAAACACATAAAAAAAAAAAAATTATATAACAAATTATATAAAAATTATAAAGAAAATGAAAAAATTAAATTTGTAAAATAGTAAATACTTCAATTTAAAGGAAACCTACAACTCTTTTCTATTTTAAACCATCAGAAAGGACATATACTTCTTAACTTTACAGGGTATCCATCAGAACGGAATACAAAAATAAAGAAATATATAGCCAATTTGAGGAATCCGCTTAAGTGCGACATTGATTTCCGTCACTGATACCCAACACATGTCGACCCGGCGAAAAGCTTATGAAAAGGATAGAGAGCTTGAAAAAAAAAAACAGGAAAAGGAAAGCAGGAAAAGGCAGAGACAGAGGGTAGAGCGTTTCTAATTGCAATTTAAATTGCCACTCGAAATGTAGGTCTAAGCCAAAACTAAATTTGTATTTCCTCTTCAAATTTTCTACGTTTGCAGATTTAATGAGGATTTGGACTTTGCCTTTGATCGTTATTTATTGCAGTGTAGGAAGAGGGAAGGGAAGGGAAGGGTAAGTCTGTTGGTCACACACGAGCTGACATCCCACACTCTCTACCCTCTTGGAAATCCAAAAACCCCCCTCAACCCCCCAACCCCCTGCGGCAATTGGAAAACCTATGGCTGCCCATGAAGTGTGTCCATAAAATATTGTTGCCAACAGATTTTCACATGCAAAAGTTTTCCATTTTCTATTTCTAAAGTTGTTTTTTAGTCGAATTTTTACCAAGGGGTATTTTGATTTTTTAAACTACACTTTATTAAGAAATTAGTGAAGCTTGTTAGAGGTTTAAAAAACTTTAAGCAATTAAAATATTTTCTTTTTTACTCAAAAAAAGGTTTAAATAAATAAGAAAAAATGTAGTAAGTCTTAAATATTTTTATGAAGATGAAACTTGAATTTAATTCCCCAAGGAAATACTTTTTTTTATACCAAAAACAAATCTAATAAACATTCACTTATGGTTATTAGGAAATACATGCTTGAAAATATTAAAAACTAAATTTAAATATTTTTAAATATATAAAAAAAAATAATTTATAGTCTAAAATTTGTGTAAATACTTTTAAATATATAAAGCAAATAATTTTTATACCTCAAGAAAATATGTTTTTCATATTAAACACGAATTTTATAAACTATCACTAAAGGTTTTTAAGTAATACATTTTTTAGAAAATTCTTTAAAAATATTTTTAAATTAATAAAAACATACATAAAGTCTAGAATTTTCTAATTAAGCTAAAATCTCGGCCTTAATTTCTCAATAAAATATTTTGTGGATACCAAAAACAAATCTGAAAAACCTTTATAAAAGGTTTTTAAATTATAATTTTTAGGGAACTTTTTTTTTAAATATTTTTTATTATAAAAAAAATAAAATAGAAATAATAATAAAAATAACAAAATATTTTATTTTATTATAAAAAAATATTTTTCATTATAAAAAAATAAATAATAATTACTAAGGAAAATTAAAAAATATATTTTTCTTTTAAAAAATACAACAGCAACAAAAATCAAAGAATACCCCAAGAGTATTTAAAATTCAGTTTTTAGAAAATCCCAAAAAATTTCCTTTCTGAAATTTTCAACTGCAGTAGTCCTTCCGGTGATGCCATAGATTCGATTTAAGAGGGAAAATGCGAAAACTGCCCAGGAAAAGCGGCAGAGAGAGTGCGAGAGAGTAGGAAAATAAGAGCTTGAGAGTGTGGGGAAGGCCAGCGACAAGTTGGCCAGGCGAAAATACGACTTGTCATTAATAACTTGGCAATTGTATTGGGCCAGTTGCAGACAGAGCAAGGCCAAAACTGCACCAGCAGCATTAGCACCAACAGAAGCAGCTGTTTTTCCAGGGTAAGGTCATCGTCGAATTAGAAGGGGTTTTGTGTGCGAGAAGGGGGGGCCTTGGCGGGGGGCAAGACTTATGTCTGGGCCGCAAGCCATGCGAGATTGAGCCCCGGCAGGTTGATTGATAGTCTGGAACGGAATGAAATTGAATGGAATGGTGCCCGGGGGACATACTCGCAGATGTTGGAACAAAAAAGGCAAGGACTCGGGATGGAAAACGCAAATGAAATGGTGGAAAGCGAATGGAAAGGTGAAACAGATTTTGAATAAAAAATAAATGCTTTAAAAATCTAAAAGATTTAAGATTTTAAGCAAAATTATCATATTAAGATGTGTAGATATATATAAAACAATTTAAATATAAATAAATTTAAATAAATATAAATAAAGAAAACAAAGACATAAAGAATACAAGAACATATAAAATTTCTAAAATCGAATCATAACTCCTTTACTGCTTGCAAACTTTTACTAAAACGAATATAAATCCCTATAAAACAGGGCTAAAAAAATATGCCAAAAAAAATACATATATATACATATCTATATTTAATAAATAATAAACAAATATTGTAAAACCAATAAACCCAAACAAACCGAATGAGTTGTCGACTTAATTTATTTATTTGGTTAAATTAAATGTTTGTCAACTGAAAAAAAAAGAAAAAATATATGAAAATAGCTAAGCTCTATAAGCCAAGTGCCTAATTGGCCGGAAATTGAATTGACCAACATTAATTGGAGAGGATTAGAGGTCTCTTTTTAGATACCAAAAATATATATATATTTAATTAATAATTACAATAATCACAGAGATTAATACATTTTGAGCGGAAGTGAAGCTTAATTGGCTTTATATTCGTATGAACCAAAATTATATAAATAGTTCCTTGCCAGATTTAGAGATGCTCTCCCCAAGGAAAATCCTTCTCATTTATCAGGTTTTCTAATGCATAAAATATGGTCTCCCTGCTTGAAGGAGACACGCCGGTGAAAGGTCAAGTCAGTTCGTTATAGAAGAAGCTTTCCCCTCCCTTCTCTCTTGTCTATTCTCTCAATCTGTGTGTCTTTTAGCCATAATGATTAATTGTGGGCCAGGCATGCTAACAATGTTAATTTGTCATATTTATGTATGTATATGCGATGGCACTTCCGTCGGCGAATTGGATGTGAAAAACTGGAGTGAAAAGGGAGCAAGGCGAGACGGGGAAAAGCTAAAGGAATCAAATTAAAAATGTATAATCGCTGGGGGGATACGAGCGAGAAAGAGAGAGCGAGAGATAGAGAAAGAGAGAAAGAGAAAAAAAGCAAAGGAAGGACCCTGTGACGAGCAATCAAATCAATAATTCATGTTATGAAAACGTTAAGAGTAACGATAATGCCCGAGACGAGATGAGTTCACACAGGGGCGGTGGCAGAGAAGGGGTAGGGGAATAAAATATAATAAAAATTTAATAAAAATATAATAAAAATAAAAAATAAAAATCTAGTATGAATTTAAAATTATATTATTATAATTTTTAGTTTTTTTTTTTCATATTTTAAGCTAAGTTTTCTTATCCGATCGCTAAGGCTGCTTAATGTTTATAAAATAATAGTTTTGGCTTTGACTTACCCGTATTAACGGACATTTTGTTGCCTTCCATCTTCATACAGCAGACTTAGCTGGGTTTCAACGATGATTAATTCCTTCCATTGCAGAGATTCTTGCTGTTTTTGCATGATTATGATTAGAACTTGCACTATTCCAGCTAAGCGGTTCTTTTCCAGGGGTCTTCCAGAAGTGTTGAGATAAACACGTGACAGGTAGAGATTGAGATTCATCGCTGAATAGCTCCTTCGATTCCATATATTATTTGCGATTTTTCACGATTATTATTATATTTGGCAGAGTTCCATGAATTGGCACTTTTTCCGCGGTCATCCAGATCGCTTAGGATGGACACGTCACACGTAGACACGAGGTGAGAGGCGCGCACTAACTAAAGTTGCGGCGGCAAAGGTGCCTATATTAATAGGTAGCCAGAGGGAGAAAGCTTGATCGAGAGCAGAGCTGAGAGCGAAGCTGAGAGCGAAGCTGCGAGCAGAGCTGAGAGCGGAGCTGAGAGCGAAGCTGCGAGCAGAGCTGATAAGCTCAGCTCAGCTCTCAGTGTGCGCGCTCTCATACAAGTGTGTGTGTGTGTGTGTGTGTGTTCGTTGTTCTGAAATTATCAGCTCTGCTCTAAGCTCGACTCTCAGCTCAACCTCTCTCCCTCTCACTCTCTCTCTCTGCCTACTTTAGTGCGCGCCTCCCCCTCGTGTCTATATGTGATATGTGACGTGTCCATCCTAACCGATCCGCGGATGACCGCGGAATCTGCGACGTGTGCATCTCAAGCCACATGGATGACCACCGAAAAATTGTTGCTTTGCTGGCAAAATGCAAGTTCTAATCATAAGGATCACTGCAATCGAAGGAATAAATCAATAAGGGCCAGCCAAGTCTGCAGTGTGTAAATAAAAGGCGATGCAGGATGCAAAGATATATTGGTATTATTTTGACCTTTTCTCGATAAAGACCTTACTATTAAGAAAGTGTTTATACATTATGAACACACATTTTGTTATTAATAAGGTATTAATTGGAAAATAATAATTATTATACTTTTGTTTATTTTGATAAAAAATAAATATATGATAAATTTAATTTAAAAAAAAAAATGTGAAAAACTGCCTGCTACAAGTTAATCTATGACTATTATTTTGAAATATATATATTAATATATTAAATATAATTGAGAGTAAAAATATTTAAACTCCTTAAAAATAAACTCTAAATAAACTTTAAACTCTGCCTTATTAATTTAAAAAATATACTTTGTGGCAAGTGACCCCTTTGGCAGGCACGTCCCTGCGGTCAGGTGGCTGGTAAAACCCGTCTTGAGGTCGAATTTTTATCTGACTGGAGGTTGTTTCTCAAAAAGGAGAAGGAGAAGCAAGCATGGGGCATGGGGCATGGGGCATAGGGCATGGGGCATGGACGTGGTGGGGTTAAGCAAATGTACATTTTCAATGACAACGGTAAGTGCATGTAAATGCAAAACGATGACAATGTCAAGGGGCGGTAGAGCTACACACTCATACTGCCATTGCAATTCAAATAAATGTTCATCTATTTCGGTTTTCGGGTTATGGTCGTCGTTTGGTTTATAAACCACCCCGCCTTACCCCGCCTTACCCTTCCTAGCCTCTCCCCCTTAACTGGGCATCCGCAGCACTTACCGCTCACTGGTGGCTGTATTTAAATACTTGCACGATTTCCGGTTGTTAGCGCTGCTAAGTTTTCAAAATGGCTGCCTTGCACACACACACACACACACATAGAAACTCGCATAGCATAGCACACTTTCGAGCGCAGAGTGACTCTCTCGTTGATTTGCCCACAATTTCACAATTTTCCACAAATTTCCCAAGCTGCGACGAAAATGAACAGGGACCGTTATGCCCGAAAATCAATTTCAAACAATTTGTCCAAAAACTATTTCCCAGGAAAAGCCATTTAATTACAAAGAGCCGAGCGCTGTGAGGGGGAAAATATTAAATCAAACACATGCCATCGGTGTTTGTTTACCCATTAAGTATTAAATGCTAAACACAAACGGTTGTTTATGGGGGAAAAAAAAATCTATATGTAAATGAAAATAAACAAAAATATATGTGTAAACGAGCCTTGGCAAAATATTTACTTTACTTTGGGAAACTGGAAACAGTTTAGTTTTGCTGTTTCGCGTAAATTAATTTTGCAAGGATTGTCACATGTCATCAAAAATTAAATATATTAAGTGTAATATTCAAAAATGATTATGTTTTGATGTTTTTTATTAAAAAAAATTATTAAAAAATTATTTGTTAGCAGCAAACTTTGGAAATGCTTAGAAAATTTATATTTTTAGCAGAATATTAAATAAGTTTTTCCTTTTTTTATGAGATTTTTGATTGGTTAACTTAAATTAATTTAATTAAAATTATTAAAATTCTTTAAAATTAATTAAAATCCTTAAAAATTATTAAAATCCTTAAAAATTATTAAAATTCTTAGAAGTGATTAAAATTCTTAAAATTTAATAAAATCCTTAAAAATATTAAAATTCTTAAAAACTATTAAAACCCTTAAAAATTATTAAAATCCTTAAAATTTATTAAAATCCTTAAGAATTGGTTAAAAATAAAAATTATAAAAATTATAAAAAATTATTAAAATTATAAAAAAATATTAAAATTATAAAAATTATAAAAATTAAAAAATTAATAAATTAAGAATTTTTAAGTATATTATCTCTTTAAAAGAAGCATACTTTATTATTACTTCTTATAAATTTATCACAAAAAAACCCAACAAAATATTAGAGACTCATTGGCGCTCTCGTTTTCCATTCATTATTCATAAACACCCAATATTTTTCAACACCTCTTTAGAGCCAATTTTGCCATTAGATTTATTGTTAAATGCCGTGCATTAATTTTGGCCAATGCAACCCGATCAGGTTTCCATTGCCAGCCAATTCTCGGAAAATATGCAAAACAATCATTGGCAGGGCCAATCCACAAAGCCAAACAACACAGGAAAAGAAAAGCCTGACTGGGGAGAAAACAAATAGAAAACAAAATGAAAAGAAAAGTAGGAGAAAAAAAAGAGAGTAACCTAGGGCCGAAGAACCGCACTTGCAGGTATGTACCGCACTGTTCCAGACTCCCTTTTCCTCGCTTTTCATTGCTGCCTTCACTCGTTTTGGACAAGTTCTTGTTGGTTCATTTTATTATTTTGCTGCCTCAACCCCCTCTTTTAGTGTGTTTTCAGATTTTTCTTATATTTTTTTTTGTTATTTTTTTATTTTTCCTTTTTGTTCCTGCTGCATTCTATGGCGGAAGTTCATTTGAGGAATTTCACTTTGGCATTTCAGATGTGCCGTTCATTATTTTGTTTTGCTTTCGCCTCGGCATTCACCTGATTTACCCACCCACCCACTTGGCATTTTCCATTTCTCCCCCCCCCTGGCCTGGTGTGCTTTGTCTGCAGCTGGGTTTTCCATAGCCAATCTTTGAATGAATAGTCTGATTTATAATGATTAATGCCTTCGAGTTATGTGTCCGACATTGAGTTGGTAGCTAGGAGAGAGTTTCGTGTCAGTCATCAACATTTGCGCATTTCGCTGATTTTGGCATTTTAGAGAGAGGAGAGAGTGAGAGATTTCCCTAGTGATTTTCATCTGAGCAGAGGCTGCATTCACACTGATAGCGCGATAAGCAGCTTACCTGCATGAAGCTGAAGCTGAAGCTCACCTGAGCGATTGCATCTCTCTGGACGGACGACTAATGAAATGGCCAAATTCTAGCTTTCATTTTGGAAAACCTCCTCCCCCCCCCCACACATACACACACACACACCTACACCTTGCGGCTGCTGCTGCCATTTCAATTTTCCCGTTTTTTGGCCATCATAAAATATAATTGTTTTTCCACTTGGGCCCCTCCACGAAAGTGAAAAATAAACTGCCAATTCCACATTGGCGACTGGCTAACAATAAGCTACAACAACAGCAACAACAACAACAACTATGGGAAGGAAACAACAACAACAACAACAATGTACAGAAGTAAGCTATTTGTTTAACAGCTGCAAGTCAGCAGGAAAAATGTATATAAAAAAAAAAAAAAAAACAAAAATGAGAGAGAGGAAGACCTGGGAATAAAGCAGCCCAGGAGCAGGTGAATGCCGGCAGGAACACGTCGACAGGATGGTATCCTTGGTGTGGAAATTAATTTACAACTTTTAGAAAGCGAATATATAAGGAAACAAAAATATATAAAATATAATACATATCAAAAAAAAAGTAAATAAATATAAATTATAAATATAAACCTTAGAGGAATATTATAAAATATATATAAAAGATATATAAGCTATAGATTTAATTAATGAAATTCATAATAAATAATAAATAGTGATAATAAATAAATAATAATAGTAATTATAAATAATAATTATAAATTATAATAATAAATATGTTAAAATGTTTTTAACTATATGAAATATAAAATAATATGAAATAAATTATTTAATTTATAATATATATTAAAAATAATTGTAAACCAATTATATAAACTATTTCTTTTATAATAACTTATGCTTAAATACTTAAATTAAGTAACTGGTGAGTTGTCTTTCCCAATTATGCTGGAATACAGCATAAGAAAATATATGTATTTTTAAAGCAATTAATAATTATTGTATATAAAAAATTATGCTTTGATTTAAAGGCTTGAAGTTTATTTAAATAAAAAATAAAGGAAAACTATATATATAATTGTATACAAAAAGAAGTTTTACATATTTGTATTATAGTTACTAAAACAAAAAATATGTTAGTAAATAAACTAATAACTAAAATAACATTTCGAGGTTTTTCTATATAAACAAAATTTAATCTAGGTAAGGTCTAATCGATGTTTATTTTAAATATTAATTTTATTATTTTATTTTGTTTTTTTATTTTATTTTTTTAAATTTATTATTATTTTTTTAAATTTATTTTTTATTTTTGTTGGATTTTTATTTTATTTATTTTATATTTTTATTTGATTTATTTGTATTTTATTTTTAATATAAAAAAATATTTACTATCGATAGCCCAAGATCCCCCCCAAAATGTCTAGGGTATCCCTTGGGCAAAGAAAAATGACCTAGGCAAAGGGCGTTTGCCGCTGATTCTTGGACTTGGAATGGAAGCTGAGAACGCATTTATGGCCCACCAAGTTCTACATGTATATATAGGATATAGGATATATATATACTGACTGCTGCCTACGATTTTTACCTATGTGCCAACACTGCTCGGAACACGGAATTCATTTAAAATTTAATGACCCAACCGTTGTTGTTGTTGTTGTTGCTGGCTATATGCATGTCCTGCCAAACCAACGAACCAGCA